GTCTCATGCATCAATAGTGAATTCCTAGCACAGAATACATCTTCCCAGCAACAGTAACTTGCTGTTCCCTTTAATGCAAAGGTAAAATCTCGCCCAGATGCAAAGAAAAGAAAACTTTGTGAAGGAGTATCCACCAGCTTAACTGTCCCTTCCCATTCTAATTTGGAAACCAGATTGCCATTATTAATGTATTGGTGCGTTAGTTCCTGCTTGTAGGAGTTTATTATCTGGGTATGTTGTACTTATCAATCAACTGACAAATAAGAAGGTAGACCCTGACTTCTACAACTGTAGTTGTAGAAACTCTAAAGAAATACTCCTCAAACAGAAGTGAGCACAGATTCAGCTGTCTCCTCGTAGATGTGTGGAACCAGGCTTCAGCAGACTGCTATGCCCTTTCTATGGATGTGACTGGGGCTGTGAGGGAGGACACGTAAATAAGGTTACCACTTAAGGGATTTTTCAAGCCTAATAGAGCTTTTGTTACATTTTCTCCTACATATTTATATATGCCTCTCTGACTGGCACTCTGAAATAAATACCAGTTGCTCCTTTCCAATCATACATATTTAATACCAAGAATACAATAGGGCACCAAGAATGAAATGGGCTTCTGAAAGGTGTATTCAAGAAAGCCTTCCCAAAAAGCAAGAGAAAAACTTGTGCTCCAAAGTGCTGATACTACTTTCTTGAGGTACCTCTGAGAAAATTTGGGGCAGGAAAGTGCTAAGCATATTTGATAAAATCCACATGGTGGCTTGTGTCAGACAGGAGAAAAGATTTAAACTCCATTCTTAAGATTTGGAGAGGAGCCTATAAAATCACAGCGAGTCACTTAATGCCAAGGGTAGCAGGGTGGTCAGTTTCGTGTTTTCTAGTAGATCTTTTTTCCCCTCCCCCAACACAGCACAGCTACTCAAAGGGTATCTTCTGTGGAACAGAGATTGAAAGAGAAAAGTCATGAACTTATATATTGTATTTCCTGTTAAAAGGCTTAAGGCTCTTCAAACTGGCCTAGCCAGTTTGAAAAAGCTCTCTGTGTTGACTGTAAAACAAGAGTAGAACTCTGATTTATATTAGTTTTTATTTAAAAATAAATAATCTATGCTGATATTTAATATTCATATTGGCACTGGCTATACACATTCCAGTGCATGTGTCCAAAGGTAACCAGACAAAGAACTGACATTTTTCCTATTCCTTGCACCAGATCTATTAAAACCATGTCAGGTTAATGAGGACATTGTGGAAATTTTTTAAATTATTTCCTTCATTATACATCTGTCTTGTTTCACTTATTTAAAAATTCTTATAATTGCATACAGAATTTGAAACCAACACTTTACAATATAGTTTTAAAGTGTTTCCATTGAAGACTTTTGGTGTTATTGGTAAGACTTAAAAGTAACAAAAAACTTCCTTTTACATGTATTCACATATTTACCATTTCCAGCATTCTTCATTACTTTGTGTACATCTAACTGACAATATAGCATCATTTTCTCTCTGTCAAAATGAATGTCTTCTAACAATTTCTGTGTAGTACACACAAGTCTGTGGCAATGAGTTCTCTCAGATTGTGTCTGGAAGTTTTTATTTTGCTTCCACTTCTGTAAGGTATTTTTCGCTAGGTGGAGAACTCAGGGAAGCCTTTAGTTATTTTCTTCAGACTTTATGATTTTCTCTTTATCATTGCTTTTCACAGAATTTATTATAGTGTGCCCTAAGGTGGTTACCTTTATGTTTCTTCTGCATGGAGTTCACTGAGCTTCTTGGATCTATGGGCTTATAGTTTTCACCAAATCTAAAATTTTGTCAACCATTATTTCCTACAAGTATTTTTTCTGGCCCATCCTCCATCATTTCAGGGACTTCAATTACACATCAGTAAAACCATCTGATATTGTCATTCAGATCACTGATGCTCTCTGTATATTTTTTCCTATATATTTTAGATAGTTTCTATTGCTATGTCTTCCACTTCACTAGTATTTTCTTTGGTAGTTTACAATTTATAATCTGCTATAATTCCATCCAGCATCTTTCATTTTACCTATCATATTCCTCATGCACAAAAGTTCAATTTGGGTCTTTCTCGTATTTCCATTTCTCTCTGCATGTTTGTGTCTTCTGCTTTCTTAAACACATGGGATAGATTTATAATGGATGTTTGGACACTTATAACGTCCTTGCTGCTATTTCTAACATCTCATCATTTCTGGTTTTGTTTAAACTGGCTGGGTTTTCTGGTTATTTTCCTGCTTTTTTTTCCATGCCTTTGGTAAGTCTTTATCAGATAATGGACACTGTAAAGTTTTATAATCTTAGGTACTAGGCTTTTTATATCCTTTTAAATTACATTGAATTTTGTTCTGAAATTAGTTCAATCTGCTTCCAAGGGAGTGCAGAGAAGCCTTTAGTCTAAGGTGATAAATACCATTTTATGGACTCTATCCAATATCATATAAGGTCTTTTTCTACTGTGGTTTTGGGGAACATGAAATAAATCTGTTGACTTACAGAAATTGCTTCACCAAAATGCTTTCCAGCCATTATTTCTCCAGATATGGAAGTTTCCTTTCATGTGTGTGTATTTCAGTATTCAGCCAGTATCTCAGCGTAAGCCCTACAGGAACCTCCAGTGCTCTGCTCTCTGTGCTTTCTGCCTCATAAAGTATAGCTGCCTTGGCTTCTCTAAATTCCTCCTATTTCTTCAACTTTATAAAAACTGGGCTGTTTGTCTTTCTTCTTTCTGCTGCCTATAAACTGCTTCTAGACAATAAGCTGGTGTATTTTTAGGGCTTGCCTCACCAGCTTCATTGATAACTTCTCTCAATAACAACAGTCTTATGCCACCTGCTGCCCAATGTCTAAAACCATTGTTTCATTTACTTTGCACATATTCTAGTAGTCTTACTTAAGAGGGCAAATTCAGCCCCTGCTATTTCATCATGGCCAAGATTCTACGCAGGTAAATGAAACAAAAATACATCACCTTCTATTTTATTTATAAGATCTACTGACTAGTTCCAGGGACTATGCGAAGTCACTATCTGAATTTTTAACAAAACACCTACCTACTGGATGAAGGGGTCTATAAAAGGAGTATCATAATGTAGATAATGAAGCCAGCAACTACTTCTTACATTTGGCTCTACATATATTTCTAGATGAGTTCTTCATATAGGACAGATATTAAAATCAAGTACCAAAATAAACTGACTCGAATAAGACCTAAGAATAGCTATATCACAAAGGACTAATGTGAGATTAAGAAATACTTTTAAGTATAAACTGTATTTGCATCATAAATTCTCAAATGTAAAAAAATGAAATAAAATAATACAAAAATTTTCCATGCTAAGCAGAAATCATGAGAAAAAGAAAGCTATGAAGGTGTATGATATATTCAAGGAGGAGAGAGTGGTTACTACATTTAGGGAATGAAAAGGGTTGAAGATGCCACCAAAATGTTCCTGACACCAAATGTTGTCCAGGATGTGAAACAATAGTAACTTTCATTCATTTTTCATGGGAGTGAAAAATGGTACAGACACTTTGGAAGACAGTTTGGTGGCTTTTTATAAAACTAACCGTACTCATACCATATGAACCAGCAATCACATCCCTTGGTATTTACCCAGGTAAACTGAAAACTTTTGTCTACACAAAAACCTGCAAGAGGATGTTCACAGCAGCTTTATTCATAAAAGCCATAGTTTAGAAGCAACATATTTTTTTTGAAGCAAGTTCTTCAGTAGGCAAATGGATAAACAGGTGGTATATCCAGAAAATGAAATATTAATCAGCACTAAAAAGAAATGAATTATTAACCATGAAAAGACAATGACAAACCTTAAGCGCATATTACAAAGTGAAAAAAGTCAATACACAAAAGCTAATTACTGTATGATTCTAAAAAATACAACCTTCTGAAAAAAGGCAAAACTACAGAAACAATAAAAAGGTCAGTGGTTTCCAAGGGTTGTGGGGAGCAGAGGGATGAAAGACAAAGCACAAAGAATTTTTAGGGCAATAAGACTATTCTGCGTGATAATTATACAACTGTCAAATTACACATATGTTCAAACTAATAAGATGTACACCAGAAGTGAACCCTAAATGTAGACCATGGGCTTTGGGTGATAATGATGCATCAATGGAGGTGCAATAATGGTAACCAGATACACCACTCTGGTGCAGGATGTTTATGTAGTGGAGGCTGCACATGTGTGGCAGCAAGGAATATAAGGGAAGTCAGTACTTCTGCTCAATTTTGCTGTGAATCTAAAAATTACTCTAATCAGAAAAATGAAACTGGCAACAATACAAAATATGAAGTGAGGAAAATCAGTTAAGAGAGTGCAGGAACACTTTAGGCAAGAGACAAGGACAGGCAGTAGAAACAATACTGCCAGTAGCAACAAAACCATTACATAACCTAATCCACTAGATAGAACTACTGCAGATCTTTCTGAAACAAGAGGAGGAGGTATTTTTCTCCAAACTAACAATAACAAAACAGAATAATATTTTCAACAAAATACATATAATACTTGGGAGTCACTTTCCAAGTTTAAATGACCAATATATGCAGAAAAATACACAATAAATCACTTCTATGTTTTAAGTAGGAACTCACAATTATATCAAAGAAATTTTTAATGTATTTCAACTGAGACACTATAAAAATAAAAATTAAACTTTTTAATGCTTCATTTTCCTATACATACTTTGAAATAACTATGATTAAATATTAGATTCTTACTGAAGTACGGTTTAAATTAATGAACATAAACTGGTATCAGTTTGAGTAAAATCATAATTTTCTATCAATTTGACAAACTATTTCCTCCCAGAAAACGCCAAGTACTGTGAAATAAATAATGAACACCTGTTAAAAATCAGTAAAAACAATTCAGTGTGGAGAGGTTTTTTTAATTTACAATGACAATGAAATGAAGAATTACGTCTTCCCAAAATGGAAGAATTAGCCTTACCTTTTTCTTCAGGCTTCATAGGTAAATATTTCTTCTCTGAAGCTATTGGCTCAGGCTTTGGAGCTGAGGGGAAAAAAAAGTTAACACTTCAAAAAAAAAAAATAGTTTTAGAGAACAAAGACAATTATACAGATAAAAAAGAAGACAGTTTAAATACAACGTAAGATGAAAATATGGTTTAGCAGAAAGAACAATGTACCAGAATTAGTAAACCCAATATCTGATTCTGTACCTGTCAATATTCTCATAAGTAAGTAATAGCTGTGCAGTCTCAGTTTCTTCTTTGTCTAGTTAAGGTATTACTGAGATTTGAAATGTTGGCTACTATGACTGTGGAACTAAACTTTTTATTTTATTAATTTTAATTATTTAAAAATCCCATACAGCTAGTAGCTAAAAGCCTCCAGCATTAAATTCTATAAAAATTACTTCTGACTTTTGCTCTCATTACCCTGGGAGTAGATCAGCAAATATAAACCACGGAGGAGGAAAGGAGTTGCATTATTGTAAGAAAAAAAAAAAAGCAAATCCCTCAAGAAAAAAAAATATTGTACTGCACTTACAAAAATCAGAAATTGGGGCTGGAACTTAAACAAATAAACAAAGAGCTGGATTGTAAAATGTTAACTCTGGAAAACTCTTTTAGGTACACCGTAATATTCAACTGTTTAAAAAACTAAAAATAAACTGTTCTAGTTTGCTTAACCCTTAGCACACTCTCTGAAGGAAGAATACATAATTTGTATTTGCCTGAAACATTAACAAACAGATTTCATCTGAAAAGGCACAGTAACTAATTGGTCACATCACTATATTATGTTTTCTAAACAGATTTAAACATTAAGTACATTTTTTTAACTCACAATGACATATAGAGTATTTAAATTATTTAAGATTGTTATTTTATACAGTTTAAACATTAAAAAAATACTGCCTATATCAGTGCATGTGAACATTCAATTTTTATAAGTTTCTAAAAATCTGTACATACCACAATGTTTTCGCTAATAAAAATAAGGTTTATATAAGACCCAATTTCACCATTTTAGAATTCAAAAATATGAAAACAGCAAACTGAACAATGTGTTTCTTACATACCTGGACCCTTAGCAGGAGGTGGTGGTTTCTTTGGTTTCTATTAAAATAGTAATGGTGAAAATAGTTGAACACTTACTTACATATTAAATACTTATACTTAAAAGAAATTGTGATAATTAATAATCTAAATTTTATGAACATCTATCTTCATTCTCATCCCTGTCAAAAATTATAAAATGATTAAGATCCTAAAAATTTCCAAAAAGGTCACTGAGAAATTTATTCTGTTAGAAAAAATACCTTTCTGATCAAAACTGAAATATTGCAAATTTTATTGTGAGTTGTTTAAACCTAAAACATCTTAATGAGGAGCAAAAATGTTCTGTCTTGTCTCCCCTAGGTTCAAGGTCTCTATACATTATTTTACCCCTCTTTACCAGGTGGGTTTTGTAGGGAAGGAGGGGTAGCAAGGAAAAGGACAGAAAGAAACTTCGTTAAAAAAAAAAAAGTAGTTAATAAATTATCTAGCTTACATACTCGATTCTTCAGAACTCTCAAAGAGAAGATTAAAGGCAAAACTCTTTTTTTCCTCCATTTATTCAAATTTTCTTAGATTTATAAGCATTCATTCACTCATTTTGAAGACTTAATTTAATGCCCTAAAGAACATGAAACACACTTCTAAGTATGTGAATTTGGTTTTCCCAAATTAAAAACAATTGATATTCAATGCTGTGTAAACACCTAATAAAAGCCAACAAAATAATGTGTTCATTAAGGAAAGTATAAAAATAAAGCATACTGAGGGTTGAATCAAATACTGAATGAAATCTAGCAAAGGAAGGGACTCTGAAGCGTAAGCTTCTGGAGAGCAACCTATAGTAATTTCCCTAACTAAATGAAAGACCGTAAAGGGACAGATTCCTGGCACTGGCTTAAATAAAATATGGCAGCCTGTCATGATAAGTCTGCTGTCTGTCTAACTCTCTTTCCCTGTTTTAAACACAAAATTGGAGAAGTAACAAGGAGGCAGTAATCCAAAATGGCTACATAGAAAGATACTGAGCTTACCTACTGTTACACACACACTACGTTTACATCTAAATATAGAATTCCTACTGAAGAACTGAGGGCGAACGAACAGCTTCGGCAGAGCAAATAACAGAGGGGCCACATAGAGAAGGGAAGGAGACAAACATAACAACAATGGGAATTCCACCACTGACTTGGCGACCTGCAGTAGGGAACAATTATCACTAGAGGGACCAAGTGCAGACTTGTGCACCCTGAGGCAGAGCAAAAAACACAGCAATTTAAAAGACAACTAAGCTATAAATGAAGGAAATTCACCTACTAGCCCTAGAGGATCCGCCAAGTGGTGGGGTAACTGCTGAAATTCTCTCCAGAGTCAGAGACACCAGCAAGCACCATTGTTATGTTCCCCTTCCACCTTGAGAGTGGAGACAAAAGCAGAGTCCAGGCACACAGCCAGCCTGCCAGAATTGCCCCAGTAGCCCTAGGCACCTCGCCAAAACAGTTCCAGCCACACTCCCATGGGGCACCCTGCTTGTGCCCAACCCAGCTCCAGCAATCCCAACAAGGTGGCCCCAGCACAGCATACTCTGAGACCCTACAAGTCCATGCCCACCCTATCTCCAGCCTTCTGGCCAGGGCAACTTGTAGCCACTCTTAATTCCAGCTGTGTTATCAGGGCAGCCCCAGCACAGAGGACCCCTGATTCCCAGAGCACATGCCTATTTTAGGTCCAGAGAGCCAGCCAAAGCAACAAGGCACATGCAGTCTATACAGGGGAGATTACTACACAAGGACACTCCATTAAGCACAGGAGAGGTAGTTGTTCTGCCTAATTTATAGAAAGCACAGAAAGTCAAACAAAATGAGGATATAGGAATACTTTACAAACAAAAGAACAAGATAAAGCCCCAGAAAAACACCTGACTGAAGCAGAGAAAAGTAATTTTACCTGATGAACAGTTCAAAGTAATGGTCACAAAGATGTTCACTGAACTTCAGGTAAGAATGGAGGAATACAGAAGTTCAACAGTTACAATAAATACCAGGAAGTACCAAACAAATTACAGAACTAAAAAAAAAATGCATTAACTGAACTGAAAAATACAATAAAGGGACTCAAAAGCAAATCAGATAATACAGAAGAACAGAGCAGTGATCTGGAAGATAGAGTGGTAAATCACCAATCAGAACAACAAGAAGAATAAACAAGTTTAAAAAATGAGAATAGTTTAAGGGATCTCTGAAGTCAACAATAAGCAACTAACATTCGCATTACAGGGATCCCAGGAGGGGAAAAGAGAAAGAAAGGGGCAGAAAATTAGAAGAAATAATGTCTGAAAAGTTCCCAAACCTGAAAAAGGAAACAAAAATCCAGGTCCAGGAGAGCCCCAAACAAGATGAAACCAAGGAGATCCACACCAAGACATATAATAATTGAAATGCCAAAGATCAAAGACAAAGAATCTTAAAAGCAGTGAGAAGAGAAAGTTATCTCCAAGGGAAATCCCATTAGACTATGAGCTGATTTTCTGCAGAAACTACAAGCAAACAGAGAGTGACAGGATGTATTTAAAATACTGAATCAGAAAAATTTACAACCAAGAACATTCTACCAGACAAGATTATCATTCAGAACTGAAGGAGAAATATAGTTTCCCAGACAAATAAAAGCTAAAGGAGTTCATCACCACTAAACAGACCTTACAAGAAATGTTAAAGGATCTTCTTTAAGTGGAAAAGAAAAGGTGTTAATATAAGAAAGAAAAAAAAATCATACTGGTAAAGGTAAACATATAGTAAAAGCTGTAAACCAGCCACTTAAATAGTATGAACATTAAAAGGTAAAAACAGTAAAATGAGGTATACAATGAGTAGTTAAGGAATACACAAAATAAAAAGATGTAAAATGCAACATCAAAAACATAAAATATGGAGGTGGCAGAGTTTTGAATAAAAATGTACTGCTTATAGGATGTTCAAACTTAGGCACCAATCAGCCTAAAATAGGCTGTTTTATACCTATAGGTCAACATACATGAACCTCATAGTACCACAAACCAAAAGCTCACAAGGTAAAGTAACAAAGACATAAAACTAAAGAAAACAATTACACTTCAAGGGAATAGACCAAAAGAAGAAAGGAGCAGGGAAGAATTACAAAAATAAGAAAACTGACAAAATGAGAATACATACATACTTATTACATAAAACATAAATGGACTAAATGCTAAATCAAAAGACATGGGGTGGCTGAATGGATAAAAAAATATAAGACCCATATACATGCTGTCAATAAAGGACTCCCTTCAGATCTAAAGACACACACTGAAAGTGAAAGGGATGGAAAAATATTCTTCACATAAATGGAAGTGAAAAGAAAGCTGATGTAGCAATACTCATATCGGACAAAATGAACTTCAAAACAAAAACTGTAACAAAAGACAATGAAGACATTAAACAACGATATCAACATTCGTTAGATATCAACATTCATAGTTAGAGGATATCAACATTCATAAGTATTTATGCATTCAAAATAGGAGTACTTAAATATGTAAAGTAAATATCAACAGAAATAAAGGGAGAAAACAGCAATACAGTTAACAGTAGGGGACTTTAATACCCCCCATTTACATGAATGGATAGATCATCCAGACAGAGAATCAATTATGGAAACACTGGCCTTAAGTGACACAATAGACTAAATGAACTAAATATATACATTATGAATATTTCATCCAAACATGACAGAATACTTTCTTTTCATGGGTACATGAAACATTCTCCAGGACAGATCACAATTTTAAGTCACAAAACAAATTTCAATAAATTCAAGAAGGCTGAAATCATATCATGCATCTTCTCTCATCACACAGCATCAAACTAGAAATAAATTACAAGAAACTGAAAAAAAACGTGAACAAGTAAAAACTAAATGTTATTAAATAACAATGGGTCAACAAAGGAATCAAAGAAGGGATTAAAGAAATACCTTGAAAAAATGAATTCAAACAGCAACAGCCCTTCTAACAAGTTCAAAGCAAAGCAGACCTGCTTGCACAGATAATAAGAAACAACAAAGATCCAGAATTAAAAAATCTAACTTCATGCCTAAAGGAACTCCAAAAACAACAAAGAAATCCCGAAGTGAGTGTAAGAAAATAATAAAAATCAGAGAGAAATAAATAAAACAAAGATTTTAAAAAGAATAGGGGAAAAAAATCAATGAAACTAAAAGCTGTTACTTGAAAAGATAAACAAAATTGATAAACTTCTACCAGACTCATCAAGAGGAAGAGAGGGACCACATCAATAAAATAGGAAATAAAAGTCAGAAATAACATCACAGAAATACAAAACATCATAAGATTTTTTATGAACAATTATATGTCAACAAATTGGAAAACATAGAAAAAATGGGTAATTACTAGAAACATACAACCTTCTAAGACTGAATCACAAATAGAAAATCTGAATAGACTGATAATGAGCAACAAATATTAATAACATTAAAAACTCCCCTGCAAGGTAACTCCAGGACCAGGTGGCTTCATGGTGAATTCTACCAAACATTTGAAGAAGAGTTAATACTATCCTTCTCAAGTACTCCAAAATACTAAACAGGGAGGAATGCTTCAAACTCATTTTATAAGGCCAGCATTACCCTGATACCGATACCAAAACCAGACAAAGACACCACAAAAAAGAAAACTATAGGCCAATATTCCTGATGAAAATAGGTGCAAAAATCTTCAACAAAATATCAGCAAACCAAATTAACAAGAGAACAAAAGGATCATATACCATGATCAAGTGACATTTATTCCAGGGATTCAAGGATGGTTCAACATGCACAAATCAATCAATATGATTCACTACATTGTCAAAACAAGAAAAAATATCAACTCAATAGATGCAGAAAATGCATTTGAAGAAATTCAATGTTCACTTATGCTAAACTCTCTCAACAAAATGAGTATAGAAGGAGTGTACTTAAACATAATAAAGGCCACATAGGACAAACCCACAGCTAACATTGAAATAAACAGTGAAAAACTAAAAGTTTTTCCTCTAAGATCATGAACAAGATAAGGATGCTAACTCTCACCACTTTTATTCAACATAGTATTGGAACTCTTCACCAAGGCAATTAGGCAAGAAAAAGAAGTAACAGGCATCCAAATTAGAAAGAAAGAGGTAAAACTGTTACTATATGAAGATGGCATGATAGTAAAAAAGAAAACCCTAAAGACTTCACCAAAAAACTTGTAATAAATGAATTCAGTAAAGTCATAGGATACAAAATTAACATGTGGAAATCAGTTGTATTTGCATACACTAATAATGGGATATCAGAAAGAGAAATTAAGGAAACATTCCCATTTATAATTGCATCAAAAAGAACAAAATATGTAAAAATAAATTTAAGCAAAGAGGTGAAAGACCTGTACTCTGAAAACTATTGGAGATTGATGAAAGAAACTGAAAATACAAATAAAAGATATTCTATGCTCATGGACTAGATGGGCTAATATTATTAAAATGTTCATACTACTATCCAAAGCAATCTACATATTTCATGCAATCACATCAAAATTCCGATGACACTTTTCACAGTACTAGAATAATCCTAAAATTTCTATGGAACCACAGAAGACCCCAAAAGGCAAGGCAATCTTGAGAGAAGAACAAAGCTGGAGGTGTCGTGCTCCTTGATTTCAAACTATACTAAAAGCTAGAGTAATCAAAACAATATAGTATGGGCATGAAGAGAGACACAGATCAATACAACAGAATAGAGAGCACAGAAAAAAACATGCATATATAGTCAATTAATCCATGACAAGAGGCAGGAATATACAATGGGGAAAGACAGTCTCTGTGATAAAGAGACTGTCTTTACTGAGAAAAGTTTGGACAGCTACATACAAAGAATTAAACTGGACCACTCTCTTACACAATACACACAAATAAACTCACAACTGGATTAAAGACTTGAATATAAGACCTGAAACCACAAAACTCTAAAGAAAATACAGGAAGTAAGCTCTTGGACACTAATCTTAATATTTTTTCGGAACTCTCTGCTCAAGCAAGGGCAACAAAAACTACAATAAGTGCATGGGTTTACATCAAACTAAAAAGTTTTAGCATAATGGAAGAAACATCAACAAAACAAAAAGGCAAACTATGAAATGGGAATAGATATATGCAAATCATACATCCGAATGGGGGTTAATAGGTTAAATATATAAATACTTTATATATCTATAAATATATAAAGAACTTGCACAACTTATTAGAAAAACAAATAACTCAATTAAAACATGGCCAGAGGACCTGAGCAGATATTTCTCCAAAAGCATACAGATGGTCAATAGCACATGAAAAGATGCTCAATATAACAATTCATCAGGGAAATGCAAATCAAAGCCACAATGAAATATCACCTTACACCTGTCAGATGGCTATTATCTAAAAGACAAAAATTACAAGTGTGGGCAAGGCTTTGGAGAAAAGGGAACCTATATAGTGTACATAGAGGGAATATAAATTGGTTCAGCCACTATGGAAAACAGTAGGGAAGGTTCCTCAAAACAATTAAAAACAGAACCACAACATGATCTAGCAATCACACTTCTGGATATCAATCGGAAGAAAATGAAAACATCAATCTAAAGGGATATATGCACCTGTATGTTCACTACAGCATTATTTACAATAGCCAAGATATGGAAGCAACCTAAGTGGCCATTGATAGACGAATGGGTAAAGATGTACACACACACACACACACACACACACACACACACACACACGGTATTACTCAACTCCAAAAAAGAACTTGATATCTTATTATTTGTGACAACACAGGTGGACCTAAAGGGTATTATGCTAAGTAAAAAAAGTCATACAGAGAAAGACAAATACCATGCAATTTTACTTACATGTAGATCTAAAAAAAACAAACAAACAAACTAGAAACAGACTCATAGCTACAGAGAACAAACTGCTTATCAGAGTGGGGAGGGATTGGTGAGCAGATAAAATAGGTTAAGGGGAGTAAGAGGTGTAAACTTCCATGTACAAAATAAGTCAAGGGGACATAATGTACAGCTTAAGGAATACAGTATTGTTGTAAGAACTTTGTATTGTGACAGATAGTAACTAGACTTACTGTGAGGATCATTTTATAACGTATAAAAATATCAAGTCACTATTTATGTACGCCTGAGACTAACAGGGTACTGTATGTCAGTTATAAGTCAATAAAAATAAATATTCTAATTGATATTTCATCCCTCCATGGGAGTAAAAAGGAATCAAGTTGTAGAAAAGCAAAATATCACTGGTAAATAACTAGGCTTCACTTTGTTCTCTGTGAATATGTAGAAATTATGTAGTCAGTAGGGAAAGAAAACTAGGAATAAAGCACAGAACTAAAATATTGTTTTGTTTTATAATAACTCAAATAACTTCTACCTGAATACATAAAATGGAAGCCCTCTCGAAAAATTATTTGGTAACAATGCAAAAAACCTATTTTTAAAGAAATATTGGCAAAAGATTTTCTTTAAACTGTTATTATCAATGAAAAATAAAAGCTTACTGGAAAGTCCTTATCCAGTTCATTTATCTGAACAGCAAAATTATCTGGAAATACTCCTTCTTTACCATTAAGTTCACCCTTCCACCAACCAGCTTCTCCAGTATCCTAAAAAACAAAATGAAAAATAATTAAGGTAATAGGAGTTATCTTTCAATAAGGAAAAACTTTGCAACAAAACAGTAAAATACTGAATTCCATTATGTTTACAAGAAAAAAAGATCTGAACAGATGAGCTGCTCCTCAAAGAAAATGTTACATACCACATATTGTAGCAACATATATAAAATTAGGTTTAATTTTTAAAAATTATTTAAATAATCCTATAATTCAGTTTAAGGATAAAATTTTCTCAGAGAAAGAAAAAAGGAAGTGGGAGAGGAGGATGGAAACAGACAAACTACATCTTACTTAACACTCTTAATACTTTATATACTAAAAATTAGTAACATTATTCATTTGCTTTGGAAATTAATAGGATTTTCTACAATTCCTCCCAAATACTAACCCTTCTGTAAGAAATTAGGTATTATCAGTCCAAACAACATGATTATTAAAAACTGCATACACTAAACCATGATAACAAAGTCAATTTAAAACAATGGGAGAAATTTCAGTAATTAATCTATATGGTTATATCAAAAACAAAATAAATTAATTTCTTTCTATTACAAGTTATAGGAGTCTGCCCACACCCCAATAATACTGGATTCCCTTTTTCTTCTGCTTTCATTCAAATCTATAAAACTACCTCATTTTTTTAAAAAGCTGCATTATTTTCCACAATATGAAGTTTCATAACCATTTACATACTGATGGACACTTTTCCCATTTTTTCTTCTTTTCCTTTTCATAATACAGGCAACAGAACTATATAGGATAAAAATGGAATGAGGAATAGGAAGTGAAAACAGAAACCTATGGTGGACTGGGGTTAGAGAAAAAAACACAACATGATAAATATATCAATTATAATAAAGACAGACAATAAGTTTGCTCAAAATAAAAAGAACTTTCTTAGCACTTACTATGTCTAGGTTCTTAGGATACAGAAACAAAACAAAGTGCCAACTCTTCGAGAGCTTATGTATTCTAGAGGAATTATAAGAATGTTGAAAAATATTTCTATAAATTAATGATTCACTGAAAAACTGAGAAATATCTTACCTTACTGATTAAGTGGATTATCTCTCCCTCTCTAAAAGTAAGTTCATCTTCATTAGTACCTTCATAGGCAAATAATGTTCTACAATATTCCTTAGCTAAAAGAAAGAATATAAATAATGTAACTTGTATAAATTAACTTTCAACAAATACTTATTAGCCTCTATTCTGTGTAAAGAAATGTACACTAGAAACTACCAAAAAAGTATTTAGTAATTTTGGCCAATACTACATGTTAAATTAAGTAACAGTTTCATTACTCATTAATTTAAACAGTTACTAAATGCCAACTGTAAGCTTCTAGGCACAGTTCTAACTGCAGGATACATCAGTAAACTAAGCATACTAAAATCCTTCACTTGAGCTGCTTTCATCTTCTTAGCTTTAATACTCTGATCAAATAGTAGAGTACAACAAATGTTTCCAACAAATGCAATAATATATTTGAACATGCTTCATTCCCAGTATGAAAATTTTATTCAAAACCCTACCTTTAATTTTACCTTCAGTGTCTGTTTTTGTTGTCTCCACACTCTGAATTTTGGATCCTACTGACTGCATGATTAAGGGCTAGAATAGAAAAGGATGGCATCAACTTTTCGAAGTTAGAAATAAGGTAATACTGTAAAACACATTTCCACTTTCAGTCATTCAGCTTTCCCTAATGGCACTTTTAGACAGGTTAAGAACATAAATGAAAACCACAATGAAGATAAAGTTCTCAAATGCTATGTAAACTATAGCTCCCAACTTCTAATTTTTTTTAAACTCCTTATCTTAGTGATAATAAACATTCTCTGATACCCATAATACAGTACTGCGATGTAATTTTAGAACCTCTAAAACAGCATTTGAAAATTTACTGTTACCAATCCCTTAGCTATACACTTTTCATACATTGTAACTTAATCCTCAATCTGCATCAAGCAGGCACTATCACTCAGTCCTTTTATAGATTAGGAATCATGTAAGTAACCTGCCCACAATAAGTTATTTGGTTATGGAGACCAGGTTTGAACCCAGAATGCCTGACTTCAAAAAGTGGGCTTTTAAACACCAGCACATATGAACAAAAATAATCATTCCTAACGATGAAATAAAGAAGAAAAGTTTTCATACATCACTGCTGTTATTTGAATGAAAACAGGTAATGTAATACTACAACCCTTACAACTATAATAGAAAAGAAAATTTTCCATCCAGTGTAATCATAATCAAATAATAATGTTCAATATATCATAAGCTTTGGAGTTAGAAAGGGGCCCCAGATTGTCTAGTCTAATGTCTGTCATAATGCAGACATTGCTTCTCCAACATTCCTAGCTGTTATGTAGGACTATTCCAAAAACCATGAGAATTCCAATCATTACCTATAAAATAGAGACTCAATTCGGTCCCACAATTTTAGTACCACTTTCAGAGCCAGAAGAGAGTAGTGTAAGAAGTACAAGTTCTCCTTCCTGAACCTGAATCATTATTACATGAAAAAATAAGTAGCAAGCTGAGAAAGAAAAAAAATGTTGAAACTAAACCACTTTAGAACAAAACTTTAGAATGTATTTCATCAAGCAAAACAGTCTTATAAGTGAAATGTGTGGCTAAACTAAGCAAGGAAAAACTAAAACTCAAAACTGAAATACTCTGAACTTTTATGAATTAAATAAAGACACAACTGAGAACCACAAAGGGAAACAATGTCCTGAAAGGCAAAGTAAAAGCCTCCTGAAGGACTCAATCTGAATCTCCAAGGTGTTAACAGAAGGAACACCTTTGTTATAAAACAACAGCTTTGAAATAAATGTTCTAAAGACTGCAGCTATTTTCTCCCACCCCCCCTGCAAACACTTGAGGTTTCAAAAATCTCCTATGAGATTTTAATTTATGACATATTCACTTTAATTTGTTCTACAGTGTCAGTGAAATGCTAATGATAAAGTTCTCCATACATTTATAGAGAGGATTAGTTTTCACAATTGCTAACAATCCAGAGGAAAGTTAAGCAGTGCCTAATCAATTTAATATTCCATTGTAAATTCATTTTAAAATGGCCCATTTTAAGTCCACTAAAAATTAAAAGAAAAAAACATATATAATTTTAGCTTTAATAGGGGCAAAAACTTGCCTGTTCTATATTTACACTACAATAACTTAAAAAACTCTGTGAAACTTCCAGTAAGAAAGCTTCCACTGTGTTAAATTACCAATAAACATTCTAATTTTATAAGAATCAAACATAAACATCAATCACTGTAAACCTGAAAAGTTTCAGTCTTCACATTCATACCAATTATTAATGATCTCAAAATAGGAAATGTAACACAGTTGCAAACTGACTGATTTTTAAAAATCTTTAATGAATGAGTGCATTATTCTAATAGGTGAGGTTTATCATTGCTACCTTTTCTGTTTTTTTCTCTTCTGTTTCAGTACTGGATGTTCTTGTCCTAAGTTTCACAGAGCCTTCTTTAAAAATATCTCCAAATCCAATTCCTCTTATTTTCTTTGGCTGTGTAACTGATCCAGGTGTCATTTCATTCCCATTCCCCAGAGAGGGTAAAGATGAGATAGGCCCAGTCAAAACAGTTTCTGAAACAATAATTGTTTTTGAAGAATGACACCTAGGATCATTAAAATCTTGACATTCCCCTTCCATAGTGTTTACCTTCTATACCTCCTAATAAAAAATGGTAGAATTAAAATATTAAATGATGATGAAAATATCCAAAATAGTAAGATGCAGTTTTTACTGAATTTTTGGGGTGATGTTCAAACAGTAATAATTTTAGATATTTTTAAAACTGCTACTTCAGAAATCCAGGAAATCATATTATACAATGTCGTTAAGAAGCACATGTCAAAATTTACAGCTCTAGGACAAATACACCATAATGTAAAACTGAAACATTAAAGAGATAATCATTTTTTAAAGTTATATTATTCAATCTGATCAAAGTTAGGGTGATTTTTCAAATATAAAAACTGGTAATTTAGCATTCTTATTTTAAAAAGTCAACAGTTCATGGCATGTCATTTTAACCCAGGGATAAAGAAACTTAAGTCTAAATTTGAAAATTTAAAGTAAAAACTACTAAAAAAAGTGTTTAACATCATATATGGGTAACAAAATTGTTTCTATGCTCTTGCTCAATAACAAAGGTTCTTATTTATAGGCATCAATGAGTCCATGAACAACCCCATGGAAAACTGTATGGTATTTTTTTTTTCAGTTCATTTTTCTGGGTAATATTGTCACAGTTCTTATCAGATTCTCAAAAGGCCTCATAATCTAACAAACTTCTATAGTAAATCATCTAAGAAAATTCCAGAAACATTTCAGAATGGGGATGGGGGTGTGGCATGGGCAAAAATATATGCTGTCAGTTCACTGAACTAAAGGAGTCTGTTGAAATTTAACAGATGAACAATAACACAGTAGTTATGATTTATTCAGGGCTTAATCTTTGCCAGGCCTTGTTAAGCAGGGTACATGAATTGTATCTCATTTATAAAACCACCTTAAAGTTAAACACAATTAATCCTCATTTTGAAAATAAGCAAACTGGGTGAGGAGATGATGAGAAATTTCCTAAGGCCATGTAAGTACTAAGTAACAAAGCCAATATATGAACTGAATTCTAGATGACCCCACAACCAAACATTCTAATATAATTAACTCAGACAACAAAAACCTCTAATCACACATTCAAAATATTTAAGAAATAGTTAAAGGAAACAACTTATATGAACTTTTAAGTACAGTGATCTACTTTAACCACTTCAGTATCAGCCTAAGCCACATATATTTTTTAATTAACTTGAGAGAATGTTTCCATATAATAAAATGAACACATTTTAAATGGATATTCCTTTTTGATTAATCTATCATATAACCTCAACAATCAATAGAAAAGAACCCCCAAAAGAATACTTATACAACATCCCAGTCAATTCACAAGGAACCTCTGATCTTCACTATGTCATTGTAAGAGCTGTCCTTTTTAGAGTTTAAATTCAATCACAAAGCAGTCTTTTGTGTCTGCTTCTTTTGCTAAGCAGAATATAGGTAAGATTCATCCATGCTTTTCTATGCATGCCAACTTATTCCTTCTTATTACTGACTGGTTTTCCATTGTACAGATACATTACTATTTACCATTAAGATTATTAACTAGTTTTTCAGAGATGAGCTTTACCCACTTTAGAAAGTTCCCTCTGTTGCTGTTATGGAGAGGTGTTGAATATGTGAAATTCTCTTTCTGCATCTACCACAATGACATATGGTTTTTCTCCTTTAACCTGCTAACATGATAGATTATATTAACTTTTGAATGCATGGGATAGGCCCCCTTAGTCACAATGTGTTTACCTTTACATATTTTGCTTATTTGATGTGCTAACACTTTGTTTAGGGTTTGTTTTTATGTTCATGAGATAATGATTTGTAATTGCCTTTTTAATGACTTCCTTGGATTGTGATATCAAAGTCATACAGACCTAAGAAATCTTTAAGAATCTGTATAAGATTAAATGCTTCATAACTTCAGCAGTGAAACCACCTATGCAGGTAATTTTCTTTGCATGAAGATTTTTTATATTGATTTTTATTTGTAGACTATCAAGAGTTTCTATTTCTTCTGTGCTTGTTTTTGTTAAGTTGTAACCGCACATTTCATCTAAGCTGTCAAATTTATGAACATATTTCCTCATTACCACCTTTAATGTCTGATCTGCAGGGATATTTCTTTATGTCTTATCATCAGTAGTATCTTTTTTCTACGGTCATTCTGGTAAGAGCTTTTATTAATTTTTTATCTTTTTGAAAACTTCAACTGTTGAACTTGCTTCCTTCGAATTATTTTGGGTTTAATTTGCTATTCTTTTACTAGTTTAAGATAAAAACTTAGGTTACTGTTTTTTGTATTTTCTAGCATCAGCAATTTCTCTACAGTTGCTGTTTTACCTGCATTCCACAAATTTTGATATGCTGTTTCTATATTATTCACTTCAAAAACCATTCTAATTTCCCTCATGATTTTTTTCTTTGTTCCACAGGTTATTTACAAGTGTTGTTTAATTTCCAATTATCTGAGGATTTCTCAAATGTATTTCTGCTACTAAAATAATTTCATCATAGTCACAAAACCTATTCCCTGTGACTTCAAACCTTTTGAATCTGTTGAGACTTGTTTGATGCCCAAACATACTGTCTAGCTGGTAAGTATTCTATGTACCCTTCACAGGAATGTGTACTCTGCTGTTATTGGGTTAACTATTCTGTAAATGTCAATTACATCTACTTAGTTGATGTTATCCAAGCCTTCTATGTCCTTACTAATTTTTTTGTCCACTGGTTCTAAGGATGATTGAGAAAAGTGTGTTCAAATGTACCTGTGGATTTGTTTTCTTCTTTCAGTTCTAGCAGTTTTTGTATTATGTATGCTGAAGTTCTGGTATTTGGTTATACATATTTAGAATTGTTATATAATTTTATGAATTGACTAGATCATAAAATGGTACTTTTTATCCCTGTTAATATTTCTCTCCCTAAAACATACTTTTAATATCAGCATATTGTTCTAGATTTCTTCCGCTTGGCACAGAGTTATCTTTTCTCTTTCTTTTTTTTTTTTTTTTTACCTGTGTATCTCAAGTGAGTTTCTGGTAGCATATTATCCAATCAATAGGCCTTTCCAGATCATTTATTTTAACTTAATCCATGATGAACTAATGTTTAAATCCATCATTTTGCTATTTGTTTCCTATTTACCCGGTTGATCTTTGTTCCTTTTTTTCCCCCTCTTTTCATCTCTCTCTCTTCCCCTCCCTCTCCCCTTGTTCATTTTTTGGCTTTAACAACAGACATTTATTTTCTCAGTCCTGGAGGCTGGAAACCCAAGATCAGAGTGTTAGCATAACTGAGTTTTGGAGCGATTTTTCATCCTGGTTTTTAAGTGGCTACCTTCTCACATAGCCTTTCCTCAGAGTGTGCACATGGAGAGAGTGGGCTCTGGTGTGTCTCTTTTTTAAAAAAATGACTTATAATTGACATACAGCATTACATTACTTTCAGGTGTACAACACAATGATCTGATATGTGTGTGTGTGTGTGTGTGTGTGTGTGTGTGTGTGTGTGTGTGTATATATATATATATATACATAGTGAAACGAACACTACAATAAATCCAGTTAACAACCATCACCAGTTACAAACTTATTTTTATGATGACAACTTTCAAGATCTGCTCCCTTAGCAACTTTCAAGTACACATTACAGGTTTACTAACTATAGTCACCATGCTATACATTATATCCCAGGACTTACTTATAACTAGATTTGTACCTTTGACCACCAGCACCCATTCTGCTCACCACAACACCCCCTACCCCCATCTCTGGCAACAGCTAATCTGTTCCCTGTATTTTTTATTTCAAGTTTTTGTTTTGTTTTTTAGATTCCACATGTAAGTGAGATCATACTGTATTTGTCTTTCTCTGTCCAACATTTTTCACTTAAAGCCCTTGAGATCCATCCATGTTGACACAAATGGCAAGATTTCTTTCTTATGGCTGAATAATATTCCATTATGTATATATAAGAGACACACACATTTTCTTTATCCATTGATCCTGATGGACACTTAGGTTGTTTCTATATACTGACTATTGTAAATGATGTTGCAATGAATGTTTTCATGGAATAAATAGCCAGAATTAGAATTGCTAGATCATATGATAGTTTCATTTTTAATATTTTGAGGATGCTTCATACTGTTTTCCATTGTAGCTGAAATAATTTATAATCACACTAATAGCATATATGGGTTCCCTTTTCTCCACATCCTCGCCAATACTTGTAATTTTATGCCTTTGATTAACAGCCATCCTGACAGGTGTAAGATGGTATTTCATTGTGGTTTTAATCTGTATTTCCTGATGATTAGTGATACTAAGCTCCTTTTCATATATACTTTGGCCAACTGTACATCTTCTTTGGAAAATGTTTATTCAGATACTTTGCTAATTCTTTAACTGCACTGTTTTTTTTATTGACTTGTATATACGAGTTCTTTATGTATTTTGTATATTAAACCCTCATAATCCCAAATATTTTCTCCCATTCCATGAGTCGCCTTTTGTTGATGGGATCCTTTGCTGTACAGAAGCCTTTTAATTTGATGTGGTCCTACTGGGTATTTTTGCTTTAGGTGCCAAATTCAAAGATCATCTTCTAAACTTCTGTTTTGTAAGAATTGTCAAGGAGCTTACTCTTTACATCTTCTAGGAGACTTACAGTTTCGTCTTATGTTCCAGTCTTGAATCCATTTTGAGTTGACTTATGTTTATGGGTGTCACCTTTTTTTTTTTTTTAGCATTTGATTTTATTAACAGCTATACCTCACTGTTTTATTTTCCTAGGGGTTGCTCTAGATTTTATAATATGTATCTTTAACTCACTAAAATCTATATTCAGATAAAATATTATGACTTCATATATAACACTCTACAACATATATATACCCATTTTACCTGTGATATTATTTCAGGCTCTATTCCTTGATAATAAACTACTCTGACTCATAAGAGGAACAACTCAAATGATCCTATAGCTGCAACCTCTCAAATGAATGGGGTAGGGTACTCCTAACTTTCTGTTTTATTTT